ATGGTGTATACCCATAGGCCACATAGTAGTTGAGGACCCTAAATATAAGCCACAGAAAGGAACTACTATGGGGCCTATGGGTAGTTTCAGCACTGTAGAACCAGAGGCGAAGTCAAGTTAAATTGAGAATGGATTACGCCCAAGCCTTGTAACCTTAAGACATACACCTGCATCAAAGTTCTAACCCCTACATACATCCTAAACCCTAAACCCTAAACCCTAAACCCTACATACATGATAACCCCAAGCCCTTAAAACCCGAGCAGGGAAGCTGCTATCCAGGAATTCAGAGGGGTTTGTCGTTTGCGGAGTCGCCAGAAAGCAGGCAGACCTTGCCTGCGCAACTACCGGCTTGGTGCCGTGGCTGCAGACTGATTTTAATAGGGCTTCAGAGGTTTAGGGTTTATAGGTTTAGGGTTTAGGGTTTAGGGGGGTCTAAGGGTTCAGGTTTTCAGGGCGTCAGGGTTTATATGTTCAGCGTTGAGGGGGTTGGGGGTTAAATTGTTTCAGGGTTTAGGGTTTTTGAGGGCGCAAGGTTTAGCGTTTTAGGGGTGGAGAAGCTTCAGCGTTTCGGGTCTGGCAGTTTGTGGTTTAAAGTTCAGTTTAAAGGGAACAACGTTGTATAATGTAGGGGCCGGAAGTCTCAGTAGTCGAATAGGCTTCTGGTATACTCTACGTAGCATATTTATTAATATATCATGACATGAAGGAACCCTAAGGATCTACAGCCCTGCGGCCTTTGAACGAATCGTTCGATTCAAGCGCATAGAACATGGACCCGTCACACACTTTGCCACCCGCAGTTTCCCGGAGATGGATCTCAGCAAGGGTGACTCCTTGTTGGTTGCTCTGTCTGCTGATGCTGAGAGTGTTCGGGGAGACCGGGGCCCAGAGGTTATTATTGAAAGCCCAGAGGTTATTCCTCAAACCCTAAACCCTAAACCCGAAAACCCCTAATTCCTTAGAGGAACCTTATAGATCCCTAAAGGCACCCTTAAAGGAACCCTATAGAATGCGGGTCCCACGATTTTCAGTCGAGAAGAAAGAAGCCGAAAGTAGAGGCCCATCAATCCCTTCGGACCCAGACTCGAAATCCGTCGTCAAATTTAGGTCTAAGGGTTTAGGGTTTAGGGTTTAGGGTTTAGGGTTTAGGGCTTGAGGTTGAGGGTGTCGGCTGCCCTTAAGGGTCTAAGTACCTGTGGCCGCAAAGACCTACCTTTTTAAGGTTCCTTATGAGGGTTTCTATATATAGTTCCTTAAAGAGGGTAGGTTTGTTGGCCAAAGGTAGTCCTTATTTATGGTTTTAGGTACCCAAAAAGGCCCCAAAGTCTTTAAATAATGGGTAGGGGTAGCCGACACCCTCAATTACCTCAAGCCCTTAGACTGAAATCTGACGACGAAAGACGACGAGAGCGCAGAAGCCAAAAGCCACACCCTAAACCCCTTCGACATAACTCTGCCTATAGTCTCCATTGTAGTTCCTTTTTTTTTGGTTTAACCAAATATATATTAACGAGTTTATAAGGTATCCCCAAAAAGGAACTACAATGGAGACTATAGGTGAAGACGAAACCCCAACAGCCCAAAAGCCCAAACCCTAAACCCTTTTGACATAACCTCTGAAGACGAAATGCTATCAGCCGGAGGTTGCCGCAAGCACGGGCAGCCGGGACCTGAGCTTGCTGAAACTGCGTAGGTCCGCGGCTTGCACGTTACGAACTACTACCGGCTGTTTGCTTTTATATCGTCACAGTACTATTGTACATTTTCTATGTATGTTTCGTCATCGTGTTATGTTTATGCTGTTTTATTGATATGTCAATATCATGTCATGGTGTTACTAGTTATATGAGCAAGTTCTTATGTTGAGGAGTGGTTCTTATGTAGCGAAACGGTGACAGCTGCTAGTGGTGTGTAGTCATCGTGGTAGTGGTACCAGGGCAGTAGTGGTAGTATCAGGAGCAATGGAATAGTGGAAACAGAGGCGGGTGGAGGGGTACCGGTCATGGCGGTGGTTTCATGCAGTGGTGGTCGCTGTGGAGGTACTGCTGAAAGCACTTACCATTTGTGCTGTTTTTATCACTACATGTGTTGGCCTGGTCTTTTATTCATTGTGCAATGAGAATTCAACATGCAATCCGAATGCTCGGCGTGGAGCATTCCCGAAACTACCTCGTTCCCTAGACTGGATCTCTGAAGCTCTGAAGCCCAGAAATGAGTGGGCCCAATTCGAGGGCCCAAAATCAAGAGCCCTTTCCTTAGGTATTCGGGCCTCTCCCTAAACCCTAAACCCTAAACGCTCTACCTTTGGAACACCAAACCCTCTTACTCCAGGCAGGGCCCTTGATTTGAGTCCCCTCGAGCGCCTGGTCAGACCCAGAGAGGTCACTACTTTAGGGCTCATGGGACTTTGGGTTTAGGGTTTAGGGTTTAGGGCTTAGGGCTTAGGGTTTAGGGCTTAGGGCTTAGGGTTTAGGGTTTAAGGTTTAGGGCTTAGTAAGCAAGGTTCGAATAGGATGACACTACTGAGGGCACTTATAACCCCCAATAGAACTCTACTTACTACGTAAGTCCCTTGGCCTTTAAGTGCCCCTTTCTTACATTCCTGAGAGTTTAATTCGCGTAAACAAGTGCCTTAACTTTCTTCCGGGGACGGTAGAAGCTTTCAAGACACACAGATACCATGTCCAGTGAAGGCATATACCCCCTAACTTCGGAACCCGAAACCCTAACTTCGAAAACCCTACAAAAAAAATCCAAAGGAACCCCTGTCGGAAGACATAGGTAGGAAACCCTGATAGAACCCCCTCAAACCCTATACCATAAACCCTAAACCCTAAACCCTAAACCCCATTCACGGAAGTCTCTACTCCAGTTGCCTTCGTCTCCCCGTCGGACTGCGACGCCGCTGCGGTTTGCTTCCGGGCAGGCGCCGGTTTAGGGTTTAGGTTTTAGGGTTAGGGTTTAGGGTTTAGGGTTTAGGGTTTAGGGTGGTTTTTTCTTGACCCAAATGTCCTACTTCTTAGGGCCCCTTTTTAGTGGCGGTTTCCTTATATGAGGTCACTAAAATGGTAGGTTTTTCAGGGTCCAGGCAAGGTTTAAAACCCTAAACCCTAAACCCTAAACCCTAAACCCTAAACCCTAAACCCTAAACCCTAAACCGTTAAGGATTTCGGGGTTATGGGGTTGGGGGCTTGGAGCTCAAGGGTCGCAGGGTTTGCGGTTTAGGGCTTGATTGTGTGGTTAGGGTCTACGACGGTGAGGGGGTTAGGTTAAGAGCTTAGGGAGTCTATATGGGGGTTTCCGAAAATCGGGGACCCTAATAGAGTACCCTAAATAATAGGATCCTTATTATAAGGACCCCCAAAATAAGGTACCCCTAATTTTCGGAAACTCCCATATTGTCTAGAGTGCAGGACTTGCTCCTTCGCTCTCTCTCTCTCCCCCTCTCTCCCTCTCTGTCGTCCGCATGTATCCCATGCCTTCTACCCTGCTTTATGTGCCCACTTTCCTTCGCTCCTCTGCCGCCCTCTCTGTCTGTTTGCTGAGCCGTGCCTCTTGTTTCATGCCGGCCTGGTCGCATGACATGCTTTGGCCCAGACTTGGCTTGACATAGACCAGTAGTAGTAGTAGTAGTAGTAGTAGTAGTAGTAGTAGTAGTTGCTGCATGGCTTCGGCAGAGAATCAGACGGGTGTTTTGCTCCAGACAATAACCCCCCCAAACTCTCAAACCCAGAGAAGAACAAGTAAATC